ATTGCCCCTAATTAGAGAATTCTCTAGAAGAATCTCTACTCTAGTGGAGGTACGAATGTGAAAGGGAAATAGATTAAGATTTCAATGTTGGATTTTTCTTACATATAGACGAAGTATATGATATTTACGCACCAAAATATAAAATAAAATTTACATTATTGAAGATGGCCTTGATCTTATTCTAAACCTGCTATAATCGACGATGTTGTTGTCTCTTATTTAAATTCTCCATAATGTTCCGTAAAACTTGAATTCATAAAATAATAAGTTAATTGCACATGTATAAAAATAAAATGTTGATATATTATAATCACTATAATCATATTTAGATTATGATCAAACTAGATGTTGATATAAAAATAAAATGATTGCAATAGATACTAGTCATCTATTGCAATTTGCAATAATTTTTTATTGCATGGATGGTTCATGAATTGGCAACCCATTACAATATCTTAGTTAACAGAACGAATCGATAGCAATGTGGTTTATAAGATTTTTTATATTTGTCTTGCATATATGTTCGCGAGTTTAAAAAATGGATTTTATAGAATAACGTAATTTAGTGAATTTAAAATTCAATTTATAAATGCATTAATTTGAGTTGATTGAATTAATAAGATTTTTTTTATTATTTAATAACACTGGAATCAATTAAGATGGATGATTAATAGCACAACTAAATCATGTACAATGTATTAAAGCCGAAATGTTTGAGCGAATCTTATGAAGGTGAGGTGATGCACGTAATCCACGTTATTTGAAAAGTAACCAAACTTTTTTGCTCGTTAGGAAAATAATAAAATCATGTTTTTAAGTTTCCATATTTATGAAAACTCTGTAAATATTTTTGGAAATTTATTTAATTAATTAATGTACCGGGCAAGTTGGGTTTAGAATTTAGATCCTTAGGGTGGTGAAGAAAAAGGTAAAATATAATACGTTACAAGCTAGTCTTGAAGTTCTCTTTTGCGTTCACATTTTATTCTAATATAATTTATTCATTGAACCGTTTCGAAAGGTTACAAAAAAATGTCCCGTAAATTATATAAGAAACAACATAGTTATATTATATGTTTACCGTAAAAATGTCCCGTAAATTCTTATATTAAAGACGTTTATTTTAAAAAAAAATTAGTATAATTTTGTTTTAATTATTTTTTGGATTTTTAATTTTATTTTTGGATTCTTATATTAAAGACGTTCATATTCTATTGAATATTATTTTTAAAAAAAGTATTATTAAAATAATTAATTTTTTGGTTTTTAGCATTTCTGTTTGAATTTATTTCTTATATAATTACTGTAATGTTAAAAATTACATCGATTCATTTTTAAATGAAATATTTAGATAAGATTATATATTATTAAAATTTTAAAAATTATATATTATTGAAATTGGTTTTATCGTATTTAAACAAAAATAGTATCCTAATTCGAACTCCTCTTAGGAAAGAGGCATTAGTAGGTAGTTTGGGACGCACAATGCACATGTCTCTTTCGTATGATGCGTTTCAAGAATTTAAATCTTGTTTGAATCACTACTATATTTTAAAATAGAAAATTATATAAAATGAATTACGATCCATAATTTCTGTTTTTTTTTTTTACTTTTGGATTAAGTATATATGGCTCTAAGATTTTGTGAGAGAAAACAATAATTGAGATAATTATATATCATCTTAATAAATCCTTAAACATGTTTATGATATTTAAAAAAAATATATCGTTTAGTATTTTTTACGAGGAAAAGGAAACGAAATGTTAATATATGTAGTATACGTATTCCACATATACCCTCGTTTGTGTGTGTAGAGATCCTACAAGATTTATGGCTAATTTTTAATTGAAAAGATAGCGTATATATATATATATATATGTATGTATACACACATGTGCATATAAATATTTGTGTGATTATGGTATATGTATGTAGGGAAGGTGAGAAAGGTAGGGGCCAGTGTCACAGCAGAGTGGTGTTGGCCTGCCCCTACATATATCACATTAACATCAATTTTCAAAGTCCTTTTCCATCTTCTTTTTTAATTAAAAAAAATTAAAATTTCATATATATAAATATATATTCCAATTTTCAAAGTCATTTTCCTTCTTTTAATTACTTTAATTTCTCCCCCGATATTTTCCACACAGCGTAAAAAGTATTTTATTTATTTGGTAAAGTCGAAAAGACCCTCCATAAGTTATTGTACACTTTTTTTTCTCAGAAAAAGCGCGTTTTGTTATTTTTTTAAAATATAATTTTAGAATTTAAATAATAAATAAATAAATAGAAAGGTGGGAAAAAAATAATATTTAGGCGGTATTAGGATTTAAAAATTGGAAAATAAAAAATCATTTGTGTTTCAGTTATTTGATTATTTTATAGCAAAAAACAATTATCAGTACAGTAGACAGCTTATGCCTTTGTCCCTCCCCATGCGGTAATATTTTATTTCGTCAAGGCCCGATTCCATGGATTTAAATATGGCCTTAAGATAGGCTAAATTGGCCCACAAGATGGAATTTTAAGCCCATTTCTCCAAAAAAACGCAGGCTTTACTCTAAAACCCTAATCTGAGTTTGGAAATGGAAATTTTCGATCAAATCGGACATGCAAAACTTCGGATGCGTGGATTCCGGCGAAATTGCAGGCAAGTTCGACTCAAATCCCATTTTCTATTCGGTCTTTTCTTCGTAATAACTGAAACGCTTGGACCCTTTTGGTAGTCGTAGCAATGTTCCTTCGCATTTGTAGAACCTTAGTTCCTCGATACCGCCAGGAGCCATCGAACGTGTGTGGACTCGAGTCAATTTGCTCAATTTCAATCCTGTTTTTCCATTCTACCCGAAAGTCGAAACCGAACGTTGCTTTGTCGGAATACTTGATCAATCAACATGGGTTTTCTCCGGAAGTGGCTCGGAAAGCTTCGTCCTTGAAAATTTTTCTGACTAAGCCAGAGCGTACGGACTCTGTGCTTTCTTACCTCAAAGAAACTGGATTTTCGAAAACGCAGATCGAAAGAATCGTCTATAGATATCCGAGGGTTTTGTTTTCGGATATCGAAAATTTGGTTAAGCCGAAGATTAAGGTTTTCCAAGAATTGGGTTTTCCTCGTAGCGATTTTGTGAGCGTCATATCGGCTGATCCATGGATATTGGGAAGAAGCTCTGATAATCAGATTCTTCCCTCCCTAACTGTGCTTAAGAATGTTTTAGGATCGCTTCCCCTTGTTTCTAAGGTGGTGAAGATGTGTGGAAACTTGTTGAAATATGACCTAGAGAAAACTCTGGTTCCAAATATTGAGTTATTGAAAAATTGTGCGGTCGATTATGAGCAGATTGTCAACTATGTCCTCAATTTCCCGCGGTTTTTCCTATTTAGTCCCGAAAACATCAAGGGATTCATCAAAAGGGTTGATGAGATGGGGTTTGATAAGTCTTCTAGAATGTATATTGTGGCGATTGTGGTAATGAGTTCAATGACTGAAAAGAAATGGGAGTTGAAGCTGAAGGTTTTTAAGGATCTGGGGTTCACCGATGAGGATATCAGGTCCGCCTTTAGGAAGATGCCACAGTCTTTCGCTCTTTCGGAGAATAAAATCAGAGAAGTGGCTGATATTTTGCTTGGCCTGGATGATGTTGATGTTCCTTACATAGTAAATCATATAGAGTTGCTACTCGGCAGCGTTGAGAAGAGGCTGAAGCCTCGGTTAGAAGTTTTGGCGGTTCTAGAAAGCAAACATTTGTTGAAGAAGAAACATGCTTTGTGCACAGTACTCAAGGCCTCGAATGACGCATTCTTGAAGAGGTACGTGGATCCATATTTGGCTGAGCTTGCGGATACTTCTTTGGTCAAAAACAGCTTCTGCGATGTGAAAGGAGTGGCCAACTCGATCAAATCAACACCATGAGCCGAACCAAACTAGGTCATTTTCTTCTATCTATAACTCTATGGTGCATAGTTGAGAGGTTTCGTCATGATTTTTGTTGAAATTTATATCATAAATTCTGTGAGGAGAAATCTCCATGCTTTGATCATATCTTTAGGTGGGTATAAGCAAGTTGATTCTAAAAATAACCTTTGCTGTTCTTTTGTGTGTGTGGGTGAATTAGAGGCTGATCCTTCTTTCCTCTGCTTCAAGTTTTGAAGGAAAGGAAAAACATTTCCTCATTAAACCCTTGGACCAAGCATTCAACTTCATACCCAAGACTGGATATCTCAACTGGTACGGAAGGGAGCAAAGCTCTTTCTCAGTCTATGTTCGAATCTCCATTTGGAGAGAGGCATTTACCGGACTTTCCGATCCTTTGGAAGATGTAGTTAGGCTAAAAGGCGGTGAACTTCCGGATTAACAAAAAAATGTATTCAACTTCATAAATATTTTATCTGCCCAAGAAAGTTGCCTTGAAAAGGGAAAAAAAACATCTCCTCTGCTCTCTGTCAATGTTTTCCATGGAAACTTGTTTTTCGTTCTTGTGGTTATAGGCTTTAGTTTTAGAGTATTGCCCTTTTTTTCCCTTAAGACTGCGAACCCTAACTTCCAGGTCAAGCAACACTCCATGAGAACTTCTTCTCGACCAAGATTGAGAGCAAAGGTTCAAACTTTCTGTAGAGGAAAAGACTGCCCCATCGCCATTTTCTGCCGGAATCAAAAGAACTGCAAAAGCTCGTTTCCAGGGTTACATCAAGAGTGTTGATTCAAGAGGACGGAGATTTGGTTGCCGACATCAAGAATTGTACGGAGAGGAAGAAACTGAAGAAGAATGTGTGATTTGTTTGTGATTGCCAGAGTGGTGTTGGCCTGCCCCTACATATATCACACTAACATCAATTTTCAAAGTCCTTTTCCTTCTTCTATTTTAATTAAAAAAAATTCAAAATTTCATTTATACATATATATATATATATATATATATATTTATATATTCCAATTTTCAAAGTCATTTTCCTTCTTTTAATCACCTTTTTTATCCCCGATATTTTCTGCAGCAGAAAAGTATTTTATTTATTTGGAAAAGACCCTCCATATGTTATTTTACGCTTTTTTTCTCAGAAAAAAACGTGGTTTTGTTACTTTTTATAGATATAATTTTAGAATTTAAATAACGTAGTTGAGCTGCACATGAAATATTTCTTGTCTTGTCCGGAAAATTTTTTTCTTGTTAAAATGGTGGAAAAAAATAGTATTTAGGCCGTATTAGGATTTTCTAATTTGGAAAAAAAATCATTTGTATTTAGTTGATTATTTCATAAAATAATAATAATTATGGGTAGACAGCTTATGCCTTGTGTTAACCACTCATCCATCCGTGGCGTCGCCATGCGGTGATATTTTATTTCGTCGAGGCCCGATTCCATGGATTTAAATATGGCCTTAAGATGGGCTAAGAGGGCCCACAAGATGGAATTTTTAAGCCCATTTCTCCAGAAAGAGATTTTACTCTAAAACCCTAATATGGGTTTGGAGATGGAACATTTCGATCAAATCGGACAAGCAAAACCTCGGATGCGTGGATTCCGGCAAAATTGCAGGCAAGTTCGACTCAAATCCCATTTTCTATTCGGTCTTTTCTTCATAATAGCTGAAACGCTTGGACCCTTTTGGTAGGCGTAGCAATGTTCCCGCGCATTTATAGAACCTTAATTCCAAGATACCGCCAGAAGTCATCGAATGTGTATGGACTCGAGTCAATTTGCTCGATTTCAATCCTGTTTTTCCATTCTGCTCGACAGTCAAAATCAAACGTTGCTTTGTCGGAGTACTTGATCAATCAACGTGGGTTTTCTCCGGAAGTGGCTCGGAAAGCTTCGTCCTTGAAAATTTTTCTGAGTAAGCCAGAGTGTACGGATTCTGTGCTTTCTTACCTCAAAGAAACTGGATTTTCGAAAACCCAGATCGAGAGAATCGTCTATAGATATCCGAGGGTTTTGTTTTCGGATATCGAAAGTTCGGTTAGGCCAAAGATTAAGGTTTTCCAAGAATTGGGTTTTCCTTGTAGCGATTTTGCGAGCGTCATATCGGCTGATCCATGGATACTGGCAAGAAGCTCTGACAAGCAGATTCTTCCCTCTCTAACAGTGCTTAAGAAGGTTTTAGGATCGCTTCCTCTTGTTTCTAAGGTGGTGAAGATGTGTGGAAACTTGTTGAAGTATGACCTAGAGAAAACTCTGGTCCCAAACATTGAGTTATTGAAAAATTGTGGCGTCGAGTATAAGCAGATTGTCAGCTATGTCCTCACTTTCCCACGATTTTTCCTATTTAGTCCAGAAAACATCAACGGATTCATCAAAAGGGTTGATGAGATGGGGTTTGATAAGTCTTCTAGAATGTATATTGTGGCCATTGTGGTAATGAGCTCAATGACTGAAAGGAAATGGGAGTTGAAGCTGAAGCTTTTTAAGGATCTGGGGTTCACCGATGAGGATATCAGGTTCGCCTTTAGGAAGATGCCACAGTCTTTCGCTGTATCGGAGAATAAAATCAGAGAAGTGACCGATATTTTGCTTGGCCTGGATGATGTTGATGTTCCTTACATAGTAAAACATATAGATTTGCTACTTGGCAGTGTTGAGAAGAGGCTGAAGCCTCGGTTAGAAGTTTTAGCGATTCTAGAAAGCAAACATTTGTTGAAGAAGAAACATTCTTTGTGCACAGTACTCAAGGCCTCGAATGAGGCATTCTTGAAGAGGTACGTGGAACCACATTTGGCTGAGCTTGCGGATACTGCTGTGGTCAAAAACAGCTTCCGTGATATGAAAGGAATGGCCAACTAGGTCAAATCAACAACATGAGCCGAACCAAACTAGGTAATTTTCTTCTATCTATAACTTTATGATGCATAGTTGAGAGGTTTCGTCACGTTTTTGTTGAAATTTATATTATAAATTCAGAGAAGAAATCTAACGGAATCAAAAGAACTGCAGAGGGTTACATCAAGAGTGTGATTCAAGACGGATTGATATACCTCTCAGCGCAAGCGACAGAGATTTGGTTGCAGATATCCAGAATTGCACGAAGAGGAAGAAGCTGAAGAATGTGTGTTTTTTTTAAGGAAACCATTGATTTGTCTGTGATTGGCAGAAAGGGAATTTGGTTCCGGGCATTTGATAAACGTCGTGGTTTGCATATTGGTTGTGGATAATTGTGTAAAGGTTCTCGGATCGTCTCTCAGAGCTGTAAACCCAGAAGATGATAGTTTTATGCAGGATTTAGGATCTATGATTCAATTCTCTTTCTTAAAAAAAACTTAATTTTGAGGTAAACCCATTTTTCGTAGGGCATCCTTTTAGGGGATAAGTAGAGAATTTATGTTGTGTAGGCATAGGCAGGCATCCCCGAACCTGGTCTCTGTTTCACTGTTTTCTTCATCTTTCGTCTACATTTTCTCTCTCGTCATCTATTTTGGGCCCTAACGTTATATGGGCTTCACTATCGGTATATTTTGAGCCCATTTTGCTCCCAGCGAAATCCGAAAATCTGGATGAAAGACACGAAGATCGAATCTAAATCATTAATAAAATAATCGCAATGTTTTTTTTTATAACCAGGATGGTTACTCGGACCTTCAACCCGACTACATCCACCCTAGACCCGGGATCAACCTTTGTATATAGACCATTTTAGTCTAAAAATTACATCCCTCTCCACTAGGGGTGGCCATTTCGGTTATTAACCGAATAACCGAACCGAACCGAACCGAATAAGACATAACCGTATCCGAACCGAACCCGACATCAAAACCGAACGGTTATGATTTCTTTAAACCCGAAAAACCGAAACCGAACCGAACCGAATAAAAAATAACCGAAAAAACCGAGAGAATAACCGACAATTTTCTTTGAAAAATTGAACTTTTTACCAAAACCGAACCGAACCCGAACCGAAAAATAACCGAACCGAACCGAACCGAAATTTATATAAAAACCGAATGGTTATAGTTTTTCTATAACCGAAATAACCGAACCCGGATATAACCGAACCGAACCCGAACCGAAACCCGAATTGGCCACCCCTACTCTCCACCAGTAAAATCGAACCCAGGATCTTGAAGATGACTTTGTCACCTCTCAACCATTGGGCCACCAACTGTTGGGTTGCAGTGGCTACCAACTGTTGGGTTAAATAACCGCAATGTTCTTATGAAGACCCACTTCTTTTTCTTTCTTTTTTTTTTTTTTAAATTGTTTTCCACGATTTGAGGTAGTTTTCTTTGTTGTTGCTTTAACAGAATCGCAGAATCTAGACCTTTATTCCGATTTCTATCGTATTTAAATAAACATTAAAGTAAAATTGGGATTAAATATAAATTAATTTTAATTAAAATATAAATTATGTGAGTGCGATCAAGTAGGAATATCATGACAATAAAAATGAACAAATGCTTTCTAGGCGAATGCTTGCATCCTTTAGATTTTCTTGATTTCTGACATGGTTTTCTTTTTTTCAAAACAAATATTTCAAGAGGCACATATTAGGTTCGAAATTAGGCAGAGCATATTTATACGTATTTAAAGTCAAACGTTTATAATAATTTGATACAAGAAAATACATGATCATACCAAAAAAAAAATACATGAGTTTTATATCGTTTTAAGTACCCATTAATGTGTAAATGTAGATTAAATATTGTTACTAAAAAATAGGTTAAATATCAGTATAATAATCCAAAAATTTTCGTACATGTAAATTAGTATTTATAAAAAATAAATTAATAAAATATCTTTGTATTTTTTTCAGCAAAATACTTGTTGGCTAAAATGAACAGTAACTAATTAGACAACTATAACACACAAACGACTCAATAATAGATGGTTCAACCGGTAAATAAAGGAGTAAAGTTTTTTTCCAACCGGTAAATAAATGAGTAAAGTTTTTTCCCAATCCGATTCGAGTCTTCATCTGGAGAAAGAAATTCGTATTGACTTTTCTGGTCTTCTGCCGTCGGAATTTTGGTACCGGTGAACTTCCGAATAAACTACAACACACATCATAAGTTTTGGTGGGAAAAAATATATTTTTTATTATTAAAAACAACGTTTTACTGCAACATTAGAAACTGAATTTATGTGTTTGTCCGTTAATATGAATAAAATAATTATGGACAGAATCAAACGAAAGCTCCGATGTGGGAGGAAGGGGGGACCATCCTACAGGCCGACACGTGTATATTCTTCCAAAGTGATCACTGTGAACGGCACAGCCTCATTCCCCAATAAACTCACTTGGAACCTCTCTAATCCCACTAATCTCCATAATTATTTTGTGATTATTATCTTACATTAATTATGAATCCCAATCTCGCTTCACTTCATTGGAATCATCTATAATGATTTTTAATACATATGATGTATTATTGGTTAGAGATTCGTATAGTAAATTGTGTGACTATGTGTATAAAACCGATATCTATCAATTATATTTAAATCAGTTTCTAGATTGATGTTTGATCATTTATTATTTTAAATAAAAACAATGTTATGGAAACGCGAATTTTTATTTAAATAAATATCGTCTTAACGTTACATTCGATATTGAGCCATGTCTACAATACATCCATAATATTATATACGTCTCTGCATAAAACTACACCAAAAACATGATAATCAAATGAAAACCCGTTTTGGAAATTTAAATTTTATATTTTTTTTTTTGTTAATCAAGAGGTTCACCTGCATCTTCAGCCCAACCTACATCCCCTCAGATTCGGGAGCAACCTGCAGACAGTGGCAGATCTATGTAAGTGTATAGGGGCACATGCCCTCATTCAATCGATTAAAATTTTTTATTTTCTATACAAAATCTGTAAAATTTTGAATAAAACTATGAAATGTCCCCATATAAAATTAAGTTTTATCATAAATAAAAACTAAATTGCCCCTAATTAGAGAATTCTCTAGATCTGTCACTGCCTGCAGAGGCTCGGTGACAGGGGCTCAAAGAGCAACATCTCCAGCAGCTAGATTCGAACTGGTGACCGGATCCCGAGAGCAACATCCTTTCAACCACTCGCCTACTACGTTAAATTTTATATCTTAATAAGCATGTGACTGATGTTCCATCAATAAATCAAATACATAAAAAGTTTTACCTGTTGAATCTGATATACCAAATGTCGGTAAGTTGAAATTTGTTTTTCGGAAGAAAATGCAATGAAAAGGTATGATTAAAAATATTATAATATGCTTTTGAAATATGGATGGGCTCTAAGGCATATGATTGATGTAACACACCAACAAATTCAAAATCAAGTATCAATCAACAACTACTAAATTGATAGATACACGCATGCGTTTATATATATTCCTATGGAACCCTATTCCTTGGGAGATCTAATAGGGTTTCGTACGATAGGCCAATAATTAAGTGACACGAAAAGATTTGGAAATTAATCGGGATTATATTATATGGAAAGATATAACTAAAACTGAATAAACGAATAATAATATCGTTAAGCATTATTATTATATTTTGATTCGTACAAGTACTATTATAATAATACACGAGATCTCATACAAAATATGCCCGGTAACTTTGATACATGTTTCACGAATGAAAGATTTGTGAAATATAAAAGAGAGCTAGAATCCATTTCTGCTGCGCGTATGATTGATGGACCACCAATAAAGTAAACGTCAACCAATCAACTCTTACTAAATGGTACATGCATATAAAAAAAATACACACATATACATAAATATATATATATATATATAGATATATGAATATGTATATGTATATATGAAATCCAGAACCTATTCTACAATCTATATGAGAAAAAATTTCTAGGGATTGGAGTGCAAGGCCAACAAGTCACATGAAATGATTTGGAAAGGAAAAGTTATTGAATGAAATTATTGTTATAGATGACAAATTGATATGTGCGCGTGGCCTAATCTAGGTTAACAATATTCAACTTCTATTTTTAACGCTATCAAAATTAAATTATATAAAGCTAATACAAATTAGTAATTAATTTTGTAAATATGTGTTACCTGTAAAATTTGATAGACATTTTTTTTTATCTAATAACAATAATAATTGGTTGCTTTTTGTGTTTTTAAACCCCATATATATGTTTCTGAGCTTTTAAAAACAAAAATTGTAAAACAATTTTTCAACACCCAAAGTCAGTTCTAATTCCATCAATAATTGGGGTTTCTTGTACTTAGTTTATTTCAGGTAAAGAGACCAATGATGGGTTTCAAAGTGGTGGCAATTTCTTCTTTATATTGGTTTTACCTTTACACATGTGATGTACAATTTTTTTTTTTTTTAATAATTTCCTTTTCAATGGCATGGGAGAAGCATGCCATTACGAAAATCCCTCACATTGTACCTTATTTGTTTATTCACTTTAGAGGTGGATTCCAACTCCTCTCTCAACCTTATTTGCTTAGTGGGCACCTCTCTATGTCGCCCTCTTTTAATTGCATGATTTGGGAATATTTTCTTAGGAAACAAAAAATCCATTTGCTTCATCTTTGTAATTGTATGATTAGTTCCTAATATTGGAGTCTTAAAACCGATACTTTATCTTAGCCTATTAATTAGTGCAAAACGAAAAGGAGTTAGTATGATCGATATTAATTCTATACCAAATAATATATATATATATATATAAATTTGGATATATAGTTCGTCTCGAATTCAAACATTAAGTTTGGAAAGAGATATTCATTGGGGTTTCTCCAACCCTTGAAATTAGTATGAATCTTGTTATATGATACTCAATTACCTAAAATATATATATAGAGAGAGAGAGAGTATTTGATAAGGATTCAATAAATTATCTTAGTATAAATATATGAGGGAAATAATTAATTTTTGTTAGCTAATAAACGGATAAGAAATCAACATAGCTAAGGATAACTAAAGAGAAAACCGAAATTTAATATTGGATTCTCTTATGTAATTAGTAATCATAGATTCAAAACGTGGGATACATATCAAATCAGGCTAATGCTATTTCTTTTAGTTTTTACAAATTTCCATGGCCGCAACATGATCAATGTTCTTTTCTAATGATTTTTTTTTCCCTTCTTCTCATCAACTTGTTGTATTTTTATGATACCTTCAATCTTTAGACATAGATCTGTACTTTAGTTTCCATGGTTGGTCATCGAGATCTTTTATTACCCAGTTGGCTATTTTTTTGGATATTTTAATTAAGGAACTAAATCAAATCGTTTTTATTTGCCCCAGATATATCTCTTTAATTAAAAAAAAAACAACTTAAATTTATTTGTTTTGTGTTTAGCACTTTTGATGTTTTCTTTGCACCCTCTTTTGGTGCCTGCCACCTCTCCGTACCATTTAATCTAATAATCTTTGTGTTAATTATACTAGAACTTAATTTACAATGTTTCAATCCGTAATTATCCAAACCGTCCTCAAACATTCCATTTGTAAGCAATTGCTTTGAATTTTATCGATTGATATCATTTTCTATCAAACAATGGGCACCAAAAGCTATGTTAATTTTTCTGATATTAATGAATGTGGATTAAGGTGTGCTTAAACAATAATTACCCATCATTAACGCAGGGTCCCAATTAAAAAGATTACTCTCAAAAGACAAGTGATTGTATTTACAAATGTGTACCCTTTTTTTTTTCCTTCAAAAGGGTAACCCCAATATCCGTTCACTCCCACTAGAAAACAATAATAGTTCAATAAATAGTCAACAAAAACGTAAAAAAATATAATCTTTTGATTTAATTATGTAACAATAGAATGGATAGTAATTAATATGCAACTGGTAATGGGAAAGATGCCGAATTAATTAAAGATGCTAAGAAACGCAAAATGGAGTTGAGAAGTTAGAGACATGGATGCTTGCAGGCTACGGTTTGGACAGGAGTCCAAGATCTTGACAAAGACTTGTACTTTGACTGCCCCCCAAAAAACAAATTACTTAATTATAAAAGTTGTGGCATTTTTAGGAAAAATACAATTCAATTTAATATTATATATATATATATATGCTTTGTTAGTTGTAATAAAATAAAGTTAAAATAAAGCTGCATTACTTTTAGCTCCAACATACTGTACTTCCCCATGATATTGTGTGGCTCCAATACCGATTTATACAAAAAAAATATATATTATCAATTCTTGAAAAGGAAAAACTACAAAAACAATATAGACTAATCACACAAAAAATCGTATCCTTTTATTGCAGTCATATCCTTTTTCACGAATATAAATATCGAATAATAACTTCTAAATTTTGTTTAATTTTTCTCCTACTCAAATATAAATTATTTAAAAATGTACTAATACAAGTGGTGAGGACGAAAAATATTGGAAACTTCTAAAATTTTATGTTGTACGAAGGTACATATTTTTTTTTCCTCCTTGTATATTGTTCTACTCGATTATGTTTTTGGTTTTTATAATAATAATAATAAAACAATCGTCAAATATTAATATTTTTATGGGATGTATCTCGAAATAGCTTGCATTTGCAAAATTACAATTTTTTTTCCCAGATAGAGAAAAGTACAAAAAAAAAACAAATTAAGAAAATATAATGGGAAAGCATAGACATTTCCACCTTGCAACAATATTTTTTTTAAGATGGAAATTCATTTATATATTAGCATTTAATTAAGAAGAAAATAAATCTCGAAAGTGGGCTATCTTCCTCTTAGTGATACTTTTTTCCACTCCACTAGTCGTCGCAAAAACTCCCCAACCTGGTAAAAAAAAGTACAATAAAGATCTGTTATTTAATTTGATATATATATATATATATATAACAGAAAATACCCAAAAATATATTGAAAAAAAATATATTTAGTTACCTCAGATGGTTCTTGGAGAGAATAGGTAGCACTCGTTTCCTTCGGGACTTTGGACACAAGTATTCCAAAACCTTGTCCTCTGTCTCTCAACACCTTCACCAAACCAAACAATATTATTAATTCATAAAACCAAAGCGAAAATAATATTGAAACAATAGATTTATACGATAGGTGAATGATTTTTTGAAAGATTTTTTAATTATTAATTGAAAACGAAATAGATTAATAGTACAACAACCGTGTCCATAAAATATTTTAATTTTTTATATAAAAATTCTCATTAGAATAGAAATAATGTTTTCACGATTACAAAATGTAAATTTCAATGATTATTTGATTGATACCGAAAGGCGAAAGGACAATCTAGTTTCCAAAACCAAAATAGTAACTGTTGATTCTTGTCAAATCAAATCTTGGTTGTTTTGTTTTTTAGTGACTGAATCATTTGAGCTCAAAATATTGTTGATTAATATTTTTTTTTTATAAATTACAAGTTATTTTCATATAAATCTATAATCTTTAAATATATATAAAAAAAATATATACCTTAAAAGCGTCTTCGTCGGTGCGATCGTCTCCGATATAAATCGGCAGAACATCGTTAGAATGGGTGAAGCCTAAAGATTCCAACAAGAACTCGAGAGCCTTGCCTTTATCCCATTTGATGGTCGGTCGAATCTCGAGAACCTTTCTTCCTTGTGTCACCCTAAGCTTTGGATACTCTTTGAGTATTGATCCGACCTCTTCTACCATAACTCCCCAATGCTGAACAAATAATAACAATAATATATATATATTAGTAAAAAAAACATTTTTAATTGTTTAAAATAATAATAAAAAATATATATATTAGTTTAGGTTTTATTACGTTTTGATCAACGCAGCGGAAATGAACAGACACGCAGAACTTGTTGTTCTCGACTTTGGCTCCGGGGATGGTTTTCATTTTCTCGACAAGAGATTTGAAGACCTACGAGAGAACCGTATGCTTCGAGTTAGAGACACGTAGGAATATAATATTTTTAAAATGAATAAAATTCTATTTGGTAAGAAAATAAAAATATGGACGAGTCATAACAAACCTCGTCAATCATGGGCAAGAATTCGCTCGCCGGTTGGAAAAGGACGCCTTGGTTACTCTGTATTAAAGAAAACAATTCTTCGGTTCGCATTTTTTTTTATTTTATATAAAAATTGGTATAAATATCATAAATAACACGTACATGCATTATGCAAATGTACATATACATCATATTTATAATATGAATTATAATGCAAGATGCAGTGTAATGGTAGGGACCTTGTTATGTTTCTTCTTTTTTGAAGGTCCCTTGATGTCCATTCCGTGGCTTCCGGCGTAGTAAAGTCCGGCGAGTTTCACAAAGCTTCGAACCTACCGGAAATCGAATGAGACAAAGAAAAACGCACGTGGGTTTTTTTTTTAGATTTTCACTCATATCCCAAAAACCCCAAAGTAGAGTTTGAAGTTGAACCCGTGATCTTTGGAAGGCGAAGATCAGAATGAACAACGAGAAAATGGAACTTGTTTTCAGACACGTGGGTTTATTCAAACGAATCAACATTAGCCGGAAATGTACCTTGTCTTGGCACCGTCCGGTGACAATCGCTGTCGGAAAATATCTGGCCACGTCTTTTACAGCGTCTCTCATCTGTAAGAACAGAAACAGAGACGTGAAACAGAGCCGAAACAAACAGAGCAATAAGATGATGATTGATGATGATTGATGATGTCAAACCTCGTTGGTCATGAAAGCTCGATCTGGATCTTCAACGATCGGAGACAAGGTCCCGTCGTAATCGAGAAACATCACAACCTTCTTCCCCTTCGAGGCATGAGCGATGTCGTCGAACATGTTCAACGCCGATGGGTGATGAGCGACCCACGAGTCTTCCTCGACCTCGGACTCAGGGATGGTGAAGTTTCCGGATCCAGGTCGACTCCGAGTCGGCGAAGAAGCTCTCATGGACTCGACCCACGAGTTGATCCGGGTCCGGGTCGGGTCGGCTTCAAGCTTTTTCAGGAGCTTCTTGCGTGGAATGCTGATGTATCCGCAGAGAGAGGAAGAAGGGTTCGTCACCGGAACCTTGACGGCGAATCCGATCCCGGATTTTGCGTCGGACATTACCACATTTCTGTTCGTCATTTTTTCTCCGGTGTACCGGAAACTTAGCGGCAAGGGTTTTCTTTTTTTTTTTTTTGGTGTTGGGTTTAGGGAAGAGAAACAGGGGAGAGACAAAAGAGTTTTTTTTTTTTTTTGGGAGTGAAAGAGCTCTCAACACATGTCACAAGAAGGAGGGCTGTGTTTGGTCAATTTATAAACTTGTTTCCAACAGCTTCACCCTTGTACTTTTTCTCTAAGCCATATTAATTACCATCATTTCTTTCCTTTTTATTTATTTATTAATAAGACCCACTAACCATGGAATATATAGATCAAACTTTATTATAAATTTACAAAGTAAATAATATTAGATTAGATATGTGCTCATATATTTATTGCATATCGTTGATACGCTTAAGATACTCCTAATAGGACTCTGCACACTATATGTCTACACTTACCCGCTATATGTCGTCAATAAAGGACCCAATTATTACCAAATTTATAAATGGTAGAAGTTCATGTTAATTTATATTGGTCGAATTGTACATCGGCTTTTGCATTTAATTCCCTTTTAACGAAACTTTTTGTGTTATAAATCTGAAATCAGTAACTAAAATGGGTTTTAATAAAGTCTTCTTGTTTTTGCGATTCTAAGAATACTAAGATGGTTTTCTCGCTTGCCACAAAACATGGATTTATTTATACATCATAGACTGTTACTAGTATTTAGACCAAAGTTGTCATATTTTTTTTTAATATAATTTTTAGGGATAAAATAATATTTAAAATAGTTACACGACTTAAATTATATCAGTTTACATATGAGTTTTTACTCTATTTTTCATTTTCTAACAAATTTAAATTTTTTAGTTATTTTTTACAATTTTGTCATAATGAGTGGCATTTTGGTTTCGTTTTCTGCCATCGTTCTTTAATATTTTTGAGGTTTTTGAGGTTTCGACGGAAACAGAGGTGATAAGTGTTCGCCAAGTGGTAGCTTTTGGTGCAAGTTGCTCTCTGTATCTTTCCTTTTCCTCTTATTTTTTTTTTGCTTAATTTACTTTTTAGTCGATTTAATTAATACATAATTTAATCACAACTCGGATTTGGTTCGACGGACGAAAATTAAAATATAGAAGAACCTGAATAGTGGAGGGTTTTTTTAAAAAATATATAGATGTATGGTAATGGTATGACACTTTATCCGTTTTAAACCCCATTTTATTGTTCCCAAACAGAAAAAAAAAAGAACCCATAAATTTGTAACGGTAATTAAAATAATATATTATATAGTTTGCACAAAAATTAATTAGTCACTAATTTGTTATTTTTTTTTGTATCATGATAAGATTTATCCATTTTCGAAACTTAAGGCTCAAATAAACAAAACTATAAGATCTATAACAAAATCTCACTGATATTTTATTTTCTTAATTCTTCTAGACTTTTGAATTGGACCAAGATGAGAGAATCATGAATTGTTCCGACCAACTTGCCATTTATTTAGAGTATAATTAGCTTAGAAGATATTTGGTATAAGGCAAATCAGGTTACATTAATTGCAATTAACAAATATCACAACTTTATTTTGTTCTATCAATCTAGGCATATTTATATTCGCATAACCAATTTTATTAATATCTCCATTGTCTTTATATCTCTCTAAAAAATTTCTTCTGCTATTAAAGATATTTTTCTTAAAATTTATGTATTTAAAGTGAAAGTTCGAATATATAATATTAATTAATCGGTTTCCTAAAAACAAAAATGTGGTTTTTGTTTCCGTCTGAACAGAATTATTGAACAGAATTATTACAGGTGGAGTATGTTATTTGAGAAAACATTGTATTTAGGATTTATATTTAGGTCCGAAATCGTGTAATAATAAATGTTTGTTAAAGTCAAATTCTCTCATTTTATGTTAAGGTGGATATTAAATCATAATATACAGCTAATAAACCTTGCTTAAACCCATAAAATGATGTATTATAGACAGTAAATAAACTTCTAAAAATCTCCCTAACCCCTCGACGTCCTGTGAATTTTTAATTTAAACAAACTAAATAGCTTATGATAGAAACATTTTAAATTCTACACAATCTAAACGTAGATCGATTTAAATTATTTAAATTAATCCATATAATAAATTAACAAAAATTAATATTAATTTGATCAGTGTGATTTAATAAAACCAAAACAGTACTTTTTTATATATATTTTCTTATGTTATTATTAATTTCTTAGATAATAAATTCTTCTAGATGCCTTTGTTCCGTGTATTTCTCATGGCAAACCGAACCAAAAAAATAAACATTTTTCATGTTTACATATTATGGAAATGGACACAAAACTAATAACGCTGAAAGGTTATACGGATGAAAGAAACCATGGGCGTTTGCATGCTTTTAACTTTGACTATTTCACGCTTTAATTTATGTCCCCATTATTAGCATTTCTATACCATCATTTCAATGACATGATGATGATTTTTGTCAATGAAGTACGTAAACACTACAAACGAATCAATACCCAATATTTACTTATTTGATTTTCAACATACATACATACATACATACATACATACATACATACATACATACATACATACATAATGTCCATGTTGTAGCTTTATATTCAATGAAGTTGTTGGGAATTTTGGATGGACAAAAAAGTTTCTGTTTTGGCATTAAAAGCTTATAACTTTGTTCGATTTTCCTTTGTTTGTTTTCTCCCTTGTAGACCATCGATTTTTTTTGGTTTATTATGATAATTTAAATAGGAAAATAAGTGTAAATGAGTCAGCTTTATTTTGACTTATTATGAAAATCGAACGAGACACATAACCAAAATTAAACTGTACTGCTTGGAAAAGGACGTCCGAACGCGGCATCATTAATTATTAATTTAAACGCTAATAAAATTGTTCTTTAATTCAATTTCTCTTTCATCCGACGGTCGCATTATATTTCAACGAATCTTGTTATGATTATGATACAACAGTAAATGAGACGAAGCTTCCCGACAATTTTCATGCAAACCCTCGTCGCAAATCTTATTCAAATCTCCTTTCATTTATAAAGTTCAGTTATATATAAAATCATCTCAAACGGCTTATATTTTATCTATATTTATTCAACATGTTAACTTTTTTTTTTTTTTTTGCGGAAAATGTTAAGTTTCGCTGTAATATCAGACAAAAGATTATATAGAAAATGTTTGTATAGTGAAAAACAACTTTTTAGTAAATATGTATTGCATAATCGTAATAAAAATGGATAGGGATTAAGTCGGTCGATCTCAATACAATATCATCAAAGTTCAATATCCCACAAATCCCGCTGCTCGAGTTTGCACGTGTGCAGACAGATTTCAATTAGATTATTTTTTTGCTACTCAATCAGGGATTAAATGATTACTACATCCGATATTCTTAGAAGCATTGAATCATTCGCGACATTGGACATCCATATATGTATCTATGTTACCAAAATATCATTTTATAATGAATTGTTTCTCCTATTATTGGCACGTCGAGTTGTTTTCCTTTAGAATTCAAGTTAGAAAAAGTCGTGCATGCTGCATGCACGCGTCCACATATATAAAGGGAAAACTTCGGTTTTCATCCTTCTATTTTTTCTTGCAATATATTCGATGCCTGATCACAGTCAAATCCGGAGGCATGCATATATATAAAAGAGTTCCATGCCTTTACGCATATGATGTTGATGTTTAACTTCGAAATCCGAGTTTATGTACATTTTGTCAAAAAGTTTCAAAAAAGGGTTAGGCGAAAATGGTATAAAAAGGTTAAATTCGCTTATATAAACATTGATACATATACGTGCTCTTTGCTAGTTTTATATGGTCAATATGTTCTTGGAAAAGGCATAGTTAAGTTTCGTGGTAACTTCACACGGTGCGTCACTTTTCTGCATCGTTCCAAATCAAATTATTTATTCTCATGGTCGCTATATATATATATATTCTTACGGTCTAAGATTCTTTTTATTTCTATATAAAATAAATTCCGGGAAAAAATGGTCCGAATACACATAATGGAGAAAAAGTGTCCGTGAAAAAAATATATATATGTAACGTCATCGTCTTGCACGCATGGCGCCTTGTCAGCATGACATTACATTGTAAGAAAATTATTAACCTTAAAGTTTCACCAATAATGTGACCAAAAAAGGTTCCACTAAATGCTTTGATTTTGATTAGTTCTAACTATAATTCACGCGTATAATCGGTAATCACTTTGAATCTAGGAAATTTAATCAGCTGGGGGTATATAAAAAAAATTTCAATAACATTCACTAAATGTTACAAGTTTTGTAATATTTTTTTTATAACTTGATAGAAAATATTGATATGATCAAAAAAATTAATGAAAAACATTATTGCACGAGAAACTTTCCTGTCTAGATAAATATTCACGCCAATGAACTGTATAAATATTCACGGATATATACATGTGAAAAATTGGAAGTAATCAAGTCTATGAAAACTTTTTTCTAAAATAAATATTACCCTTGAACATTATGCCGCACCACAAAATCACACGCTAAAACAAACGCAAATTGCAACCCAACCTTTGGCTTGCACAAATCTGGCTATGGAGTACAATGATTTCTCAACGAAAATGTAATTCCGAATATTTTATTTACTAAATCGATGTCAATTTATAATGAAACAACAATCAAACATCCATATATATATCAACAGCTAGGTGCAAAGCACTCAGAGGTTGGCGGTTCGATTCCTGGTTAGGTAGGGGTTTTCACATGGGCTGCCCCGATTCTTTGGGAGATGTAGTTGGGCCAAAGGCCCGGTGAACTTCCGGATTATAAAAAAAAAACATCCATATATATATATATATATACATATATATTGGGGGTTAAAGTCATGCAAGATCACATCTCGCTTCCATAGAAATCCCCTCTCAAAATTTCAGTTATGTATCGTGAGTTGGAGGTAAATATTTTTTTTTGGTAAAATGTTGGAGGTAAATATTGTATTTAAAACCATGATATCCAATGAATTAGAATGGGTATTAATTATTTGGATGATGATTTTGATATTAGTGACAACACGATTTTCGTTGTTCTTGGGCCGACAACCAAATTATTTCATTTTTTTTGGACGTGTTTTTTTTTTTTTGT